ATCAATATTAACTTGCCTGAATATGATGATGGTGCCATGGTTATATAAGAGAATACATTTTTACCTAGGAAACATACACAGGAGTACTTAGGGGTAAAGGGTTATGATGTCTGCAACTTACTCTCAAATGACTCATCAAAAATGTGTATGTAATTGTTATATATTAACATATAGAGGGAGATAAAGAAGGATGTGGTAAAATGTTTGCAATCTCTAGGTGAAGTATAGAAGGACATTCATTGTGATATTCTTTTTTTTTTTTTAAAGATTTTTATTTATTTATTGAGAGAGATAGTGATAGAGAGAGAGAGCATGAGAGGGGGAGAGTCAGAGGGAGAAGCAGACTCCCCACTGAGCAGGGAGCCCGATGTGGGACTCGATCCCGGGACTCCAGGATCATAACCTGAGCCGAAGGCAGTTGCTTAAACAACTGAGCCACCCAGGTACCCCATTCACTGTGATATTCTTACAACTCTTTTGTAGGCTTAACATTGTTTCAAAGTAAAAAGTTAAAAAATATACTGTCATTCATGAAACCACGGTGAAAAGAGACAATGGTAGTTTTAAAAATATATCACTTTGTGGTAAAACAAAAAGTACTCAACTTTATGTTGTTTCCCAAAAATAATTAAAAAATTAAACTTGTCTATTAAATTCAACTCTGGAAACCACAGACATGCAGCAGCGATTACACTTTCATTTTTAATTAATAGAACAAAAAAAGTCACCTTATATTAGCAAGTTTTCTTCAAGAATAATTTTATATACATTGAAAATAATGTAATGTTGGGGGTATAAAATAAAATGCTTATTTTTTGGGCAAGGTATAGACATGGAAATTATACTTTTTTTCCCCTGTGAGATTTGTAGTGTGAAGTTAGTTGCTTCACAGTTTTTTTTTTTTAATTTATTTATTTGACAGAGAGAGAGAGAGAGAGATAGCGAGAGCAGGAACACAAGCAGGGGGAGTGGAAGAGGGAGAAGCAGGCTTCCCGCCGAGCAGGGAGCCTGATGTGGGACTCGATCCCAGGACCCTGGGATCATGACCTGAGCCGAAGGCAGACGGTTAACGACTGAGCCACCCAGGTGCCTGCTTCACAGTTTTAATATTTTCTTCATCTTACAAGATAGTATTGTCTTTGCAAACACACTTCTATAGCTATCCCTTCAAGTTTTGCAGCTTATCCATTCATCCCACAAACATCCATTCAGCACTTTTGTTTTAAGACACTGTAAATAAAATAATGAGTAGGATATGGTTTTTATCCTTGGGTGAAAGAGGAGGAGAGAGGAGAAATAAATAAGTTCAAAACAATGATGGCGAGCATACAATAACAATTCAAACAAATTGCTGTATATGGTGATACCAAAGAAGATGCCCAGTTCCAAATGGTGGTGGAAGTTTAAGGAAGGCAAGCTAGATAAACTTGCAAAATTTCCCTCAAAAACTCTACCCAACTGTAGAAGGGAAAGACCTCAGGGACCATATGGAATATTCCAGACCTTTCTCTGCTTCATCTGTGCCTCTTGATTGCCTGTATTCTTTAAGTTATTAGTAAAACTCAATACTGGAGTAAGATCTCTGATTCATGTGAGTCTGACTTTACAATCTAACTCACTATATTGGCTCGATATGTAACTATCATCCTTCATGGCTCCCTGTCCTAGGATTAACAGCAATATCCTCAAGATGGTCTGTGAGGCCACACAGCATCATGGTCTACCCCTACCTACATCTTCAGCTCCATCTCTTACCGTACACCCCTTCATTCACTGCATTCTAGGCCTACTGATCTTTCAGTTCCTAAAAAAGTGCCAGATTCGCTCCTGCCATTTGGTCATTGCACATTGGTCTCTCTCTTCCAGGGGACCCTTCATCAGCTGTTCTAGCCCCTCTGCTACCCTTAATCCCCATTTCCTATGTATTCATCTTTCATACTTCAACTTAAACAAGCCTTCTTCATGGTACTCTTTTCTGACTGCAGTGAAGGGCAGGTTTGGTAATTATGTCTCTATTTAAAAGTAAGATTCCTTATAGCACTTATCTCAGTTTATAATTATCTTCTTATTTGTGCAGTTATTTGATTTATGTCATTTTCCTACTGGACCACACATTCTGCAAGACCAGGACAGTATCTTTCTCAACTCAATTCTGGGCATACTACATTTTAGAAATATTTGCTGAATGAACTAAATGAATAATAAATTGAGGAAAGATAAATCTGAAAGCAGTGTAGATGGACCAGAGTCCAGGAATCAATTGAGTAATAACAGACCAGCAGGAGATAATTAAGACCCAAGAAGAGGAGATGGAATCCACCTGTGTTACTCACTGTGCGGGATCTTGGGCAAATTATTTAGCTTCTGTGAATCTCAGTTTCCATATCTATACAAAGAGTATAATAATAGTGTCCATCTCCTGGCTTTGTTACAGCAATTACCTGGGACAGTGTATATAGAGCTTAGTGCATAGGAAGTGTCAGATTAGCACACGGAAGTGTCAGATTAGCACACAGAAATGTCCATCATTTGATCCCATTTAGTTGCCAGATCTGGGTTGCAAACCTGGCTTGCAGCTTTCTTGTGGCTAATGTGCAAATGGACATGTGATTATTTAGAAAGGTCATAGTGCTCTTAAGATAAAAATAAACTATGTGTTCATGAAAAGCAGAGCTCTGTTCCTTTGTCCCCTCACCTGTTCCCCAGCTGAAAGAAATTTCTCCTTTTGGTTTCTCAGTAAGAGACCCAGGCAGGCTGCAATGGAGGGAGAAGATCTCTATCAAAGAGTTCCCATGGCAGCTTCACATGGCCACCCCTCAGTGTGAACTAAGGCCAAAGTAACTGCAAGAGGCCATTGTTTTGGAGTCCAAAATGTCTAAAGAATAAAAGTTAGAACACCCAAAGGAGCTCTCTTAACCTGGGATGTCAGGGTTTCTCTGAAATCCCCAAATTGTGAAAGTGCTTAGTATGGACTAAGTGGCTTATCAGCATCTCGAGAAATATCCAGATAGAAGAAACATGTAGAATATGGAGGCAGGCAAACAAATCTGTTGGGATTTAGGTGTCTTAGGTCTCAGGCCTCTGGCCTCAGGTATGGGCCATCGGCTGACAGTGAGCCCCCAAAATACTGAAGTTTCTCACAGAGCCAGACTTCTTAGCATAGGTTTGGGCTTGGCTGGGTCTATGGGAAGGCCCACAAGGCAGGGCCAGGAGGGTGGTTAGAATTATCAGTCTATTTCAAGATAGTAATGTCAAGGAGGGAAGAAATATCAGTTGGAAAACTATCATCAGTGACCCAGGCACATCAAGGTGCCTTCTCAGACTGCATCATCCAAATGGAACCAAAGACTTTTGAAAGCAAATGCTAAGGAGGGGATCTGATGAAAACATTTATGAAAAATTCCTAGTCATCATGCCTCCAAAAGAGAATGGGGCAATCAACGGAAGAGGTATAATGAACATTCCAGACAGAAACAAGGTACCTTGATGTGTAGATGAATGATTACTCTATTTCTAAGTTGGTTTATTCAGTTATATTTCTTTCTACGTTAGACTTGCAACTTGTGAGCCCGGAGGGCCTACATAATCCTATTAGGCAAAGATTCTTTCAAGCAGGCATTTACTTTTATATGCCTTTGAGGATGATGATATGAAATATCACTTTTCCTTCTTCCCATGTTCATCCCTTCTGGGAGATGGTGTAGTAGGATGTGCAAGGATTCCTAACACATCTCCCTGAAGGTAGGACCAGAGATTCTACCATTTGAAAAGGAAGAATTTCTGATTCTTCCATTAAATTATTTTGTTATTTCAAAGTATGACATGATCTCTTCACATCAAGCAGCTCCCCCAGGTTGCAGCTTCCATAGATCTCCCTTCTGTAACTCAAGCCTTGGGTGGGCCTGCCATCTAGCCAGGTGCACGAGCCTGGGAAGAGCGAGCGTGGAGCCTCGCTGGGAGCAGACAGAGCCTGTAGCCTGCGGGTGCCCAGATGTTAACATGTCTGAAGAGCAGGGCTGGGATGGAACCCCCAGAAACATCCGTGGTAAAATCCACACACAGCCATACAGAACCTGCTTAATGTAGTTGTTTTGTATGGAAGAAGTAAACGGCACTCTAATTCTGACAAGGGTTTCTGAGAAGAGGCATCTGTACTTCCTATAAAAAGTATGCCTCAGAATTTTGCATACACCCAAACCAGAAGATGGAAAGAATGTCATACTTGCTAACTCCAGGTGCCTCGTGAAATATGACATTTCTATGAGGCAATGGCTTTGAATTTATGCTTGTGTTGTTTGCTATACAAACAGGTTTGAGTATGTGCCCTAGTCAAGGCACGGTGCTAAGCCGGCCTGGCGGGCAGCCCTCAGCACCCACCCTTTCGCACCTGGGCACAGTGGGAGGCGCTGAGGTCCTCGGCTGCTCTCCACCTTTCTGATGCTGAGAAGTGCACTGAAATTCAGGGGGTGGAACCAGATGACCTTCTAGGGTCCTTTCCATCTCAGTGTTTTCTGGTGCCAGACTAGACAACACCAGGTGTTTTAATTCATTTGCAGAGCAAGAAGGTCTGAAGTCTGTTTTTTAAGCATGTAAAGCTATTACAGACCAAGATTCAGAGAAAATCAGACTCCTTTTTATGGCTTATAGGTAAATTTTTAAGTGTACAAACCTGTGATGTTTATTTAGCTGTTCATGTGTTTGTTTTGTTGGTCACTTGTATCATAAACACGTTGTTGGCCGTGCAAATAACAAGAAAGAGTTGAGTTCACCCCCCCTTTTTTTTCCAGTGAGAGATTTTGTTTCTAAAAAGCACTGTTTCCCCTTCTCTGTGTCAAATGAAAGAATAAAATATAAACAGCATCTCCTTGAAACCCCCCAAATACCAGCAATTAGGGACGTGCTATTAAAAAAGAAAAAGCACACATATGTATGTCAGCAACTCGGGTGGCTGAGGACTGTTTTCTGGCTAGACGCTGTTGGACTTTTTGAAGATCCCCGTCACTTGCACGCCCCAAGAGGCCTGGGGCTCCCCCTCTTACCTGAGGAGCCGGAGCTCGGCCAGCAGAGTGGGGTTTTGCTGCGCCTTCTCTGGGGTGGGCTGAGAGGCTTGTTCATGCTCTAGCCGCAGCCTCTGGATCTCCTGTAAGATTTCTCTTGGGAGAGAGGAAGAAGGTAAGAAACTAGGGTCAGTCACCTTCCAGGGGATCCCGGATACTCACATCTGGGCGGGGTCATCCCGTCTTCAGAAGCAGGAGCATGCGCACCAACGGTGTTCAGGAGCTACTGGCTGCGGGGAGCTGGGCACTGATCGGGAAGGGAAGGCTGGTCTCCGCGCAAGCACGTCCAGACTCTGCGCGTGTTGCTGGAGCCTTCAAGCTGAGAGTGCTCACCAGGACCTAATGATCTCTCTACTAATATAATGCTGTGGTAATGTGTTCAACTTTGAAAAGTGCACTGCTGCTGAGCAAAAAATGTATCTTCCGATTATTGATGATCACAGTGTGACACCATGAAAAGCACTTGCAGCTACCAAGTTAGAGGTGCTTGGAGGGAAAATAAGGATAAATGGTGTTCATTTCACAAAACTAAATAACCCCATTCTCTCAGCAGGAATGAGATTCCTCTCGCTGGATTTATCTGAGAAGGCCCCCGTTAGGCAAAATTCTTTTTCTTAACATTTTCGGCCTTAACAATGGATCTCGATGAGGGTAGCCTTTGAAGGAAAGTGCTTTTAAAAGGATTCACTGTAATTGAGTGTGTGACAGAAGAGTGCTATTGGCGTGACCTCTGTCCGGGGTGAGATGTGTCAGTCTATTATTAATGTTGGAGTCCCGGCTGTCCCGCACTGAGGTGAACATTAGGCTGGCCATAAAGGATAGGTGACCTGTGCAAGGCAAATTATCCCTAAGTGAGTTAGAAGCCATTAAGCAAGGTTACAAGTCACGTATTCTTGGGGGAGGGGTCAGTCTCCCATCCAGCAAAATGCACAAGAGACAGACAATAAGAACAAAGCACCAAGGAATGGAAGGTGAACTTGGTGAGCAAGGGGGATGGCTTTCCATCTGAAAGGCTGATTTACAACTGCCTGCTTCATAAACACACCAGAGTTAAGAAGCTAATTATCAGTCACTACACCTCTCGCAGGTACAGTGAGAAGATTGAACTAAAATTCGTGGTTTCCCACCTTTTTCTGTCCCCCTTGGTGTTCCATGGTGGAAACCTTTCTTTAAGAGAGATTTTCTATGGGAATTCAATACATCAAATGGTAAAGTGAGCTGCTCTGGTGAAAGAAAGGGTGGGCCCTGAGCTGCAAGCCCTTCCTCCCCGCTCTTCAGGCACCTTGACAGAGCCCCTGGGTCCCACAGAGCTCAGCCTGAAAATCAGTAAGCTGGGATTTCAAAGATCTCCTCCAGGGCTACCATCCTGATATTCTACGACTCCCACTAGTTCTCCTTGTTGGTTCCAAGGACAGAACCATGGCGCAGCATTTAGCCTAAGGAAGAAAAAGAGAGAAGCAGCTCTGATAAGGAAAATAATGGTAAGATATGTAAAGAACATTGAGTACTTAGTCTCTACCCAGGAAAAATGCTCTCTTCTTTCATCTTATTTTATTTAATCCTCATACAAATTATTTTATATGTGGGTATTGCTATTATCTGTTTCATGAATAAGGAAATCAAAGCACAGGCCAGTTAAATGACTCACCCAAGTTCAATAACAAATAGGTGGCAGAGGTGATTTAAACTCAGGCTGCTTGGCTCCAAAGCTTGTATATATCCGACTCCCTCCGTCTTTGGTACTTGCTCTGACAGGTCTATCCTATGCAGGCTGTGACTTCCGCATCACAATATAGTCCTGCTACTCCTAATACCAATCCCAACTGGCTCCTCCAAACGTGCTATGAGGAAGCATTATCTTCTAAGATTACTGCTGAAATGTCCACTACCTAGGGTAGTGATAAAGTGAAGTGAGGAACTCTATCCTCTCCTGAAGCTCAGAGATCTGATTAGTGGGTTAATTGTCACCTGGGAGACCATGGGATCCCTGGGGTGAATTCCCATGGTGCAGCAGTGGGACCTGGATAAGTTTCTGGGACGTGGTTCTGGGCTCTTTGGAGGGCATGAGGCCACTGGTTTAGAGAAATGTGTTCAGGATGGACTAGATGCTCTTCAGGCATGGGGTGGGGAACTCTATGGGCCATGAAAGGACTAAGGGACCGGATGAACTTCTCTCTCTGATATTGTTATCCAGAAACATCTTGGAAACAAGCAGTAAGAGTGGTAGCACGGGACAGCCCGGGCCATGAGGACATTCATGGTGCTTCTTGCTGATTCTAGAATCCCACATGGAGGCAGATATTATTGCCTGGGGTATTTCCTTAAGGGAAGTTCTGATTTCTCCTCATGCTCAGTGGAAGCAGAGGATTGGAAGGGAAAATAGTACTCTGGAGAGGTGGGAGAGCAGGTGAACACTACAACCAAGATAAGATATTTGTGGGCTTGGGAGTTTTCACTTTAGTCTATCTTTCCTTCTAAGAACATGGAAATGTGCCAACCAAGTTTGTATCTTCCTTTAAATTTTTGTCCACAGAACTTTATTTTTTTTAAGATTTTATTTATTTATTTGACAGAGAGAGAGAGAGTAGAAGCAGGGGGAGCAGGAGAGGGAGAAGCAGCCTCCCTGCTGAGGGACTTGATGCCAGGACCCTGGGATCATGACCTGAGCTGAAGGCAGATGCTTAACCAACTGAGCCACCCAGGTGCCCCTCTCCATAGAACTTAAAAAAAAATACTTTGACCATTTATCTCCAAATTCTCAGGTCAAACTCTATAGGCATGAAACAATGATCCCAACCTTGTCCTCTATTCAATTTGATCTCAGAAGTTACATCAGTGTCTAAGAATGGGATTCAGGGGTAAGATGTTTTGGTGCTCTTCTAAGAAATATAGAACATACAAGTTGCTCCCATGTTGGACTTACTCAGTATTGAGTTTGAGATCTAATTCCACTATTTATTATTTTCTCACTCATTATCTATTTACTGAGCTTCTACAACATTCTAACCATGGTTCTGGAACCCAGGGGCCATGTGGCATGGCCTCTGTTCTCAAAGAACTTCCACTTCAGTCAAGGAAGACAGACAATACTCAAGGAAGCAAACACAGATGCTATTGTTTCCGATAGTGATGTCTCTCTCTCTCTCTCTCTCTCTCACACACACACACACACACACACACACACACACACACGCGCACACACACGGAGCTGTGATAGAGAGCGGTTCCTGGTGTAGGAGGTCATGGCAAGATTAGCTAGGCCTCGTGGGCAGAGACCTGAATAATGAGAAGGGCCCATCCATGCAGAGACCGTAAGGAAGAGCTCTCTACGATGACAGAGCAATGAGTGCAGAGGCTATAAAGAAAGAAGTAAGGAGGAGGGTAACGAGCAGGGTTTGCTGAGGCTGGAAAGGTAGGCAGGAATCAGTCCCGGTCAGACCTTGCAGACCATGGTAAGAGGGGTGGGTTTTAGTCAAAGTGTGACAGAAACCCATCAGAAGGTTTTGAACAGAAAATAACCTGATATGACTTGTGTTTTATACAGTGCCGGGTTGGGATGGTGGTAATGGTGGAAATGGAGTGGGCGGTTTGGGATATGTTGTGATGGTCAGCTGCAAATCAGTCTGCGTTGAATAAAGAAAAGCCTGCCAATGGACTGGGCCTCTAGGTGTTTGGCTTGAGCAACTGGGGGCCCGTGGTGTCAGTCCAAATTCCTCTTTCGGCCGGGGTCGTTATAAGGACCCTCCCTGAAGAGCCTTCCATTTGTCTCTGCATGAGCCAACTCCTTAACGAAAGCAAGCATGTCCGTACAAGGGAAATGAGGCTGTCTAGAGAGAAAGCATTGATTGCACTGAGATCTCAGAACTGTATATATATATATATTGTCTCATGAAGCTTTCGAAAATCTAAAATCTAAAGACCCGCTTCTCAGAAGCCCACATCACCGACGAAAGATGTCATCCTTTAAAGAGGCACACGGCTGAAATACCTGGATATTTTAAAGCATTAACTACAAGCTTTCAGTGAGCACACACTGATCAAAACAGCCAGCGTGTCTAAAAAGCCTTACCTGTTCTTGTTTTCTAGCTCTGCGATCAGCTGCCTCTGCTGCTTGTTTGCATCAATGGTGAAGGAGATGTCAGGAGCACTCCGCTGCTGAGTCGGCTGCTGTAAGACCAACATGTGGTTGACTATTTAACATTGGGAAGGGAAACTGCCTGTGCTCGAGAAGACCGGGATCGTGAGATAGGCAGACATGAAAGAAAAAATTATTTCTATCAAAGCAAGAAAAGCAAATACATGAGATTGCCATTCATCTCCTAAGGACCAACTTCTCTATGAATCTGGAGGACACCTCTGCAAAGAAAAGCAGAATGGAATTCTTTGGCAGGCAAATAAATACACAAAACACAGAAAAAATAGTTTTGTAGCTTTCTTTTTTTTTTTTTTTTAAAGATTTTATTTATTTATTTGAGAGAGAGAGAGAGAGAGAGGGAGAAACAGCATGAGAGGGGAGAAGGTCAGAGGGAGAAGCAAGCTCGCCGCTGAGCTGGGAGCCCGATGCGGGACTCGATCCCCGGACTCCAGGATCATGACCTGAGCCGAAGGCAGTCGCTTAACCAACTGAGCCACCCAGGCGCCCGCTTTCTTTTTTTAATTATGTTTTACTTTTATTTTTTTTAAAAAGAGTTTTATTTATTTGAGAGAGAGTGAGAAAGAGAGAGAGAGGGGTGGGGAGGGGCAGAGGGAGAGGGAGAGAGAGAATTCCAAGCCTGACTCTGTGCTGAGCACAGAGCCCAATGTGGGGGTCGATCTCATGACCCTGAGATCATGACCTGAGTGGAAATCAAGAGTTGGATGCTTAACCAACTGTGCTACCCAGGCGTCCCCCCCCCTTTCTAAAGAGTTATTTATTTATTTGAGAAAGAGAGAGTACAGGGAGGGGCAGAGGGAGAGGGAGAGAGAATCTTCAGGCAGACTCCCTGCTGAGCATGGAGCCTGATGCAGGGCTCAATCTCACGACCCTGAGATCATGATCGGAGCCAAAATCAAGAGTCTGATGCCCAACTGACTGAGCTACCCAGGAGCCCCTGTTTTGGAGCTTTCTGACTTGAAGTTTTGGGGATCTATTTCGTTCTTGCTGTGCTGTCCCCATTGCTATGGTTCTCTCAATATAGGTGGGTGTAAAAAATACTTCCCTGTTGAGACACCTCTCTAGAATTACTGTTCAGTCACTGTAATGTACAATTAAAAATTTCATGGTTTTAAACTCATAGTTACTAGGATTTTCTTTTCTTTTGATCAACATACTTATAGCATTTCTTTATTCATATAGGTAATTTTACATTGATGGATATATACATCCTTCCTCCACATTCATGCCATACCATCATTCCTGGTCATGCAGCTGGCTTTAGCAACTGGTGTATATGCAGTCATAGCTTTCGTCATACATATACATACATATGTGTGTGTGTATATATATATATACATATATATATGCACACATACACACCAATTAATCTTAACAAATTATATATATAGATATATATACGAATTAACCTGACTAAATACACATATACATAAAAGTAAGGTATATGATTATATATGTATATACATATATACATATGTATATTTATATGTGTATTTTTTGTTGTAAAATCAAAGTACTATTTTATTAAATGAGTTCTTTTACACAATATGAATGTTTCTTATAATTGTAAGAGAATTTTTTATAACAAGGATGCACTGATTTTCAGATTTCCAAATGAGAGTCAACTTTTACATACGTATTATGTTTACATATGTATATACATGCAATATATGTATATATTTAAGGGTGTATTTATTTAATGAAGGTTTAATTTGTCATTGTTTTATAAAAGCAGGATCAGATTATGTATAGTTCCCTGCCCCTTGCTTTCCTTGCTCTACAGTACATTGTAGAAATTCCTCAATTGGTTTTTAAACAAATTAAAAAAAATCACAATCTTTCCACTAAAGAATGCCAAGCTTTTAAAATTGGCACTGATTAATTAACTAAGCCCACAAAGACATGGAAAACCTCATCCTGCTTTTTAATGTCCAGATACATGACTGTAGGAAAGGTTAAGCTTGGTAAAATGTCTGGCTTTCATAAAGTTTTCCTATGATTTTTTAATTAGCATTTCTTTGAACAAAGAAATGATCTGTGTTGCTAACGAAGAGATTTGAGGTCCTAGGTTTTATGTCCTAAATGGCTTCCTGTAGTTAAGTCTGGCAGACGGCAGCTTTGACCTGTGATCCAGGTTTTCCCTCTGATTTCATGACGTAATTTTTTGTTTCTCTTATCTATTACATATTGATAAAAGTAGAAACTTATCTGAGCCAGTTGTGGATCTGAGTCATCGCTTTGCTCTTTTTATTAAGTGATCAGGAATTATCCAGAGAAATCAGGGGCTGGGCTGGCGCCGCACTGTTGTAACTGCGTATCTGAAGCTACGATTTCTGCTGTACCAGAACCATAGCTGGAGAGGGACAAATGGAAGCAGTGGAAGGCTTGTGTGTGCATCCTGCAGGCCATCCAGTAACACCTCCTCAGCCCTGCCGTCAGCACCGACCGTCAGGGTAACAGTGAACGTGAATGACAGCCTCGCACTCAAACGACTTACCGAGGAAGTGGACTCTGCCGCCAGTCTGGCCGCGTACCTGGCGATCAGCCTGTGTTCTTCATCAAGCCGGTTTGAACTCTCAAGCATACTATTGAGAACAGAGCAAGAAGGAGACTGTTAGGCAATGAGAAAGACTGATGTGTTCCTATCACTGCCAGGGGGCTTTGCTATTTCAATTTTTTGGTGCAAAAATTTGAAAGCTATACAAACCCCTGTTAGGTTAATGATCTCAGACTTGGATTCATGACATGATCTACTATGTGGCCAGGAAGTTTCATCAATAAATCCTGTCTTCAGTTGATTCAGTGTCTTACTAAGAAAACTCCAAAGAACAGTGACTTTTCTCATCAACATATCTGATAAAAGAATATTTTCTCTTTAATTTTATTGCCTGTAACATTTTTATTTAAATATCAGAAAATATGGGAGCAAGACACAACACCCCCCCCCCGCCAATTGTGGGGTGCCGGGGTGGCTCAGTCCGTTAGGCATCCAACCTTTGATCTCAGCTCAGGTCTTGAACTCAGAGCTGTGAGTTAGAGCCCCACATTGGGTTCTATGCCCAGCATGGACCCTCATGTAACAACACCACCACCACCAACAACAACACAACAATTGTGGTCAGCCTGCAGTGATCACCACCTTCTGGTATTCACATTTGTGTGTAATCCTCTTCCTTTGGTATGGGCTGGGCTTACTGGCTAGGTTTTAATAAATAGAATACAGCAGAAGTAATGGAATGTCACTTCCAACATTAGGCTATAAAAAAGGCCATGGTTTCCATCTGGAGTCTGGTTTCTCTCTCTTGAGCTCATTTGGATTCCTTGCTCTATGGGAAGCTAGCTACCTTGTTATAAGGCAGCCTGTGGAAAGACCCATGTGATAAGGAACTGAAGCTAGCCAATAATAACCTTGTGAATGAAAGCTCATAGGTAGAGCCTTTAGATAAGATAGCAGACCCAGCCAACAGCTTAATGGCAACTTCATGAAAATCCTTGAGCCACAGGCACCTAGCTGGATTCCTGACCCACTGTGGGATAATAAACGTTTGTTCCTTTAAGATGCTAAGTTATTGGATAATTTGTCATGTAGCAACAGATAACTAATACAAATTGTTATCTATAATATTACTATTCAGGTAACCTGCCATTTTATATTTACTTCTAGAAAAATGGAATTATAGCAGTGGCTTCTAATGACATTAATGGGAATTGTTTATTGTCTCATATAATTATAGAAATTGTTCATACTAGAATAAGAATGATCTGAGCCCTTAAAAAATTAAAGCAAATAGAAGCATTTCAAATTTCCCAATTTTCAGAACGTTCTTCACTCAAGACAAAGTTTTGCATGCCATTAAAAGAATTCTATGAAACATAACAGTAACATCAGTCCTGTTAACAGACTAGTTGATTATAGTTTGGTTTATCAGTTATTACGGTAAGTATTGGGTCAGAATCAAGATTAGAAACTAGTTTCTCTCATCCCTAAATATATTCTCCTCCATTTATATTTCCTACCTGTTATTCTTAAGCCTGTTTCTTAAAGAAAAAAATTAAGTACTCATGATTATACACTGAAAGTAAAACACTTCTATGCCAATATTAAGGTTGTAAGAATTGTCCATTGCAAAGAATTGAATCTGTATAGAGTAATATACACTTATATTATTTATATGTGTATTAAAATATAAAGTAAATATGCAACATAGTCTTTTAACATTTGTTCTAAAGTGAGAAGATGAGTGAAAATCATTATGTGGTTTCGAGAATATTGGCTATGTCACTTCCAAATAGCTTTTCACTGGCTGGCTGAATCCATTACTGTAACTTTTTTGTTTTGGTCATTCATAAAACACTCCTGTCTCCATCATCTCTGCTCCAGTCTATACTCCTCAAGTATGTAAACTATACCTGTTCCCATCCTGAATACTTCCACTCTAGATTTAGCTCTTTTCTCTGGGCTACAATAACTACCTGGAATATTCCTGAATATCTACATTTACTAAGTCACTTTTCCATCCTCAGAAAAAGTCTTCTCTTCCCTTTTGCCCACATGAGATAATGCATGTAAAACACGTCAAGTTAGTATGATGCCTAGAACACATTAAGTGCTCAAAAGTCAGTTAATTCTTATAATTTTGCCTCTTAAGTAACCTGCTCAGATTCATTAATGAATCATGTCTCCTTCAAAATGTCATCTCCCATCTAACAACCAGGCAGAGTAGGGCTTCTTAAACTTTAGTGTATATACTTATCACCTAGGGATCTTGTAAAAGATGTAGTTTCTTATCTGTAGTTGGGGGTGACAGGGTAGTTTGTGGGGGGGGCGGGGCAGAACCTGAGAATCTGCAGTCCTAAGGAAGCTTCCAAGATACACTGATACTGCTGGTCTAAGGAAAACCTTGAGTGGCAAGGATCTAGAAGATCTTGAAAATAAAATGGAAAATCTAAACACATGAAATAAACCCCAAATGCAAACCATATACAAGAAATAATATGAGTGTTTAACTGATATTCATATAGCATGTATGATATTTTATAAACATTCCTTAACACAGAAAATTCTAGATTTCCAGGCTCCCATATGTGTGGTACCAATCCCCACAGATTGAGATTTCAGTCAGCATACAAAAGACTTGGAGTAAGAAAATAACTGTAACAGCAAAAGGAGTTGGTTCTGGAGAACTGATGCTTTAAAGCAGAAGTTTGTCTCTAGAACGCAATGTCTGCCCTCTGTTAGCGCTTAAAAATAATAACTGAGTTTCTTGTTACAGCTTTAATAAGAAAAAAAAAGTTACACTCTTTTCACTTTAAACTTAAAACTACTCCACAAAGAAACAATTTGATTTTAATATGTTTATCATTTCTCACTGGTATTAGAAATAATATGTCTAATTCAGCACAGTTTGTGTAGACAACAGGGCCCATTGCTCTAAGCACAGGGCAATGATCCGTTCGTCAGAAAGTGACTTTGTCAAAAACATTTGTGAGTGTTTTGATAAATAAATAATAAAAAACTTGATAAAAAACCTCATGATAAAAAGAATCTTTTATCATGAATGACCAGCAAGTATAAATAATGTAAAGGTACATAAAGAAAAGCCTCTTGGAGATGTAAGACGTGAAGTTATGGGATCGTGTCTAGTAAGCTATAACTCATCCTTCCATGCCTTTCCTCCCCCAGCCCTGACTGAATGAGGGGTGGAGTGATACATTACCCCTTTGTGCATGCACACGATTTATGAGTCCACATGTGCCATTTCAGTATGTTCACATTATCCAAGGTTGAATGAGGCATGCCTCTGATAAATTCCATTATTTCAAGACTTCAATTACAAATAGTTGAAAATGAATGGCCAATAATCCCTAAATCATTAAAGAAATACCGATTCCAACACTTTCTCCATCTCTGGCTATTCATTTCAAGACTTTATAATCAGTAATCTTGCTACAAGACCATGATGAATTAAAAAGTGGCTGCTGTGAAGCCTGCATTTCAGAGCAGGGAAATCTATTATTTTGAAAGCTCTCCACTTTCTACCTTCAATGCATGGCCAGTGTGTGTTGCTAGTGATTTCAAAATGGCATTCTAGACAGCTCAAGTGGCCTCGGCTGAGGTCGGGCTTACTAAATTGTGATTTAGCAAAGATTTCTGGGAACCTAGGGTGTGTTCACATTTCTTTGGTTTCTCTGTAAGCCTGTTATGACTTCCCAGGTGGGACAGTCAACCAAATAATAATGTGGTCCAAAGGGCAGCAGAAATACTTTCATGTTTTCTCGTAGTATTTTTCCGTTTGTCTGAATGGGTGAATGGAATTTTATCAGTAGAGGTTTATTTTTAAGATCATTAGGCCTCCTGTACCACTCTTCTATTAGCAAGCAGTGAAGAGGAGGATTACTGCCTGGGAAGGCATTCCTAGTTGCACTGAAGCGGAGGATTACCCTATCAGGTTATTTCCTACCTTTTGCAGTAGGTGGAGAGCAAAATGCTCTGGCAATGGAGCCTTGTTCAGGCCTTCAGGAGTCAGTGAGCAGAAGAGAGTCAGGATGGAAAGAAGCAAAGTGATTCTGGGGCCCAGGACATGATTTTATGGGACTGAAGAATGGGGAGGGAAATGAACTAACTCTCAGAGCTTCAACTGTTGGCTCTTGAATGACTGGTTTGAAAGGAAAAGACAGGAAATCATGAAGTGGCAATCTTCCTGGATAATAGTAATAAAATTGACCATGACAATGGTGTCTCTGTAGGGATGCCTTCAAACTCCTTTATCGAGACCCTGACTTTACCTACTCACTATGTTATAACACCAAGGCCATGCATTCTACCTTCTTCAAACTCACAAATTCCTCTGTTTCCTTCTATTCCAAGGGTCACTGATGTGCTCCAGGCCACTGTCATCTTATCTGGAATTAGCATACAGCCCTCTCAACAGGTTCCTCTCATTTTAGACTTATTCTTCCTTCCGATTCATTTTGCATCCTGTAGTCAATGATCTTTTAAAAAATGAATTTGGCTGTAACATGCATAGAATCCTTTAGTGGGTTCTCATTTTTCAAACTCCTACCTAAGACTTAGGAAGTCCTGCATAATCTAGCTTCATCCTTAAGCTCCCGGTACTCTAGCATCCTTCCCCAGTTGAGTTCTTCAAGGAGAAGTTCCACATTTTCTCTCTGCTCTGAACAATCTCTCTGCCTCCTCCACCCACTTTCACTTGGCCCATTCCTCTTCATCCCACTGTTGGCTTTAGCGACCATTTTCCACCTTCGCCTCTGACCTCTAAATTTGGGTTTGTTGCTCCTCGGCACTCTGCACTGTCTGCCCTTCCTGTACCTGGTACCCTTCCCATTTTAATTGCCTTTTCACTTGTCTTTCTCCTTTACTAGACTGTAGCTTTTTTGAGGGAAGAATGGTTCAATCTTTTCACCATTAGATCTTGAATGTTTAGCACAGTGCTTGGAACACAGCAGGACGTGCTTAAGCGTTAGTGGGACAAAAGAACAAATACAGGTTAGCTCTCTTTGGCTTGCAGTGTCATGGACTTTGGCCCACATCTTCTGTATCCTTCTTGGCTCTGCATGCATCCTC